TGCTCGGCTTAGACTCGGTTACAAGTATCTCTGGGAATTCTCATTATCTGCTGATGTAGACCTGACCAAATGTAAACTGTGTCAACAAAATTATTTGCACACCCTCCGTCACTATGTGATGGAGTGCGAAAAGATACGTGAATTTAGAGACAATTCTATTACCAATGTTCCAGCGATGTGTCAATATTTCATTCAAAATGATCTGCTACCAGAAATTTTAGCCAAATATCCCCAGTTTGCTAACTGTAGGTAGTAACTAAGTGATTGTAACCTATCCACCGCTGCCCACTGGATGGGGGGCGGTGTGCAGGACAAACATATAAATTTTGACACTAGCTCTCCACATATGTCAATTGCTTAATTTAGAACTTGTACTTGAGGTCGATCTCGAACCCATTGTTGATGTGATGACTTATATTGAATTTTGTAACTAGCTCATCAAGATTGTAACTTGCTTAGCTAAATGAATTGTGGGGTTCAGTCCCTGAGCCCATTATGTGCCTCTGTAACCCTTTCCACTACCGCCCACAAGATGGGTATGGGGTGCATAATAAATGAACTAAACTAACTAACAGAAACATGGCTAAGTAAAGACCATACCCAACTTTACAACTTAGCCGGATATAAAGCCATTCACAGCTGCAGTCCTGACAAAAAAGGAGGTGGTACAGCTATCTATTATCAAGATAACTTCAATTGCACAAGTGTTATTAGCAATTGAGACTACTGTTGTGAATATTCCAATACATTAATGAATACATTAATGACCTTCCAAATGCCTCCCAACACCTCAAACCAATTCTATTTGCTGACGACACAACCTTCATTTACTCCAGTCCTGACCCCCTTGCTCTAAATGCCACAGTAAATACTGAGCTAAATAAAGTCCATCTTTGGCTAACCGCCAACAAACTCACCCTTAACATTGACAAAACTTTCTATATTCTGTTTGGCAATAAATCCTCTAATCAAATAAATCTCAGATTAAACAATATCCAAATTTGTAACAAAATAGATGGCAAACTCCTTGGCGTTCTCATTGACCACAAGCTGAATTTCCAGGGACACATTCTAAATATATCAAAAAAAGATTAAAACACTGTTGGCATTCTTTCTAAGATCAGATATTATGTACCCCGCCCTGCCCCGGTGACTCTCTATTACTCTCTCATCTATCCATATCTCAACTATGGTATTTGTGCTTGCGGTTCTACTATCCAAAATAATTTACGTCCTCTAATTACTGAACACAAAGCTGCTATTAGGACAATATCCAACTCTGGCCCCAGACATCACTCGGTACCCCTGCTCAAATCTTTGAATATGTTGTATATTAAGTCACTACACATTCTCTCATGTGTATTATACATATATAAAACGCTGAATTGTAATGCTAATCCTGACCTCAAAAGCTTCATTGAAGGTTGTAACAGAACCCATGAACACCACACCAGAATCAAATACAGTTTTGATATTCCAAGAGTACGACTTAATCAAATTAGAAATGCCCTACAAATCAAGGGACCCAGATTGTGGAATGACCTTCCCAATCATGTTAAAGACTGTACCTCTCTCAACCAGTTTAAGATAAAAACGAAGCACTACCTAATAAATTCCCTGTAACCTACCTTACCCCTATGTTGTCAACCCATGTCTGATTTTTAAACAACGCGGTTTGTCGACCTAATTGTATTTGTGCTGCTTTTTCAGCCATGTTCTCCCCTTTTTATTTTTGTTTTTATTTGTTCTCAACACATTTTATACTTTAAACTCAATTAGTATTAAGTTTTCATCTTTAATGTTTTTCCTAAATGTTTTTTTTTTTCATCTATCCTCACTAAGCAAGAAACTGCCAAAAGATTAAACAACCCCTGGCTCACAAGTGTCATATTTAAAGCAATTGACAAGAAACATGAATATAAAAAAATAGGATTGGCCTGGTTACAAAAGAAGTTAAGAGATACTCATCAATGTTCACCTATATAATGCGAAGAACCAAAGTTTCCTTGTATGAGAATACATTTATTGAAGCAAAAGGAAATATGAAAATTTGAGGCATTCCATAATGAGAAAACTGAAAGTAAAGCCTCATTTATATTTATTGCATCACTTGTAATGATAAACTAAGGAAACATAACAGAGACAACGAAAATAAAGATGACCCCTAATGAGGAGAATAAGAATGAATTATTAGAAGAGGTTGGAATTAGGGAAGAGTCAAGTGTTGTGAAAACTGATTCTTTAAATGAGACAGTTGAGGAGGTAAACAATGAGCATAGAGACACAATACTAAAGGAACTGATCGAAGGCCACAAGGTGATGAAGGAGTTGCTGGAGGAACAAAAGGTTTTGATGAAGGAAGTTATAGATCTTAAAAACCATTAGATGATACACATATAGACAAGCCCGGGGCCAACCAGGCATCCATGGGGGAGGGGGGAGTAATCAGACACTCGAGTTCCGGATAGAGATGCAGGCAGAGGTCCAGATAGTGATGCAGGCAGAGGTCCAGATAGTGATGCAGGCAGAGGTCCAGATAGTGATGCAGGCAGAGGTCCAGATAGTGATGCAGGCAGAGGTCCAGATAGTGATGCAGGCAGAGGTCCAGATAGTGATGCAGGCAGAGGTCCAGATAGTGATGCAGGCAGAGGTCCAGATAGTGATGCAGGCAGAGGTCCAGATAGTGATGCAGGCAGAGGTCCAGATAGTGATGCAGGCAGAGGTCCAGATAGTGATGCAGGCAGAGGTCCAGATAGTGATGCAGGCAGAGGTCCAGATAGTGATGCAGGCAGAGGTCCAGATAGTGATGCAGGCAGAGGTCCAGATAGTGATGCAGGCAGAGGTCCAGATAGTGATGCAGGCAGAGGTCCAGATAGTGATGCAGGCAGAGGTCCAGATAGTGATGCAGGCAGAGGTCCAGATAGTGATGCAGGCAGAGGTCCAGATAGTGATGCAGGCAGAGGTCCAGATAGTGATGCAGGCAGAGGTCCAGATAGTGATGCAGGCAGAGGTCCAGATAGTGATGCAGGCAGAGGTCCAGATAGTGATGCAGGCAGAGGTCCAGATAGTGATGCAGGCAGAGGTCCAGATAGTGATGCAGGCAGAGGTCCAGATAGTGATGCAGGCAGAGGTCCAGATAGTGATGCTGATGCTCAAGAGAGGGATGCAAAAACTATGGATAGGCATAGACGAAAAAACAACGTTATTATAAGAAACATTGGAAGAGAAGAATGACAAGGAACTCAATGAGACAATGTTAGAGACACTGATAGGCAAGGTTGAAGATTTAAGTATATCAGATGTCAGGAGGTTCTGAAGGCCGCAAGCAAATATGGTAAGAATAACCATTGTCAATTTTGAGCACAGAAGGAAGATACTAAACCATGCCCACAAACTCAAAGATCTCGAGGGGTATAACCAATTATATATATCTCCAGACCTCACTAAAAAGCAGCAAAATAACGACAGGGTGCTAAGAGGCAAACTGAAAGTTAAGAAATACAGAACGATACAAAAATTACTCAGCTAAAGATCAGGAGAGGAAAGGTTATCCAGATATCAGACGGGGGGAAGGGGTGAGAGTCAAAAACCTTTACCCAATCAGGCAAAACTAAATCTATATACCTTGGATAACAAGTAAATAATTATCAAAAGAAGGCACCAAGCCGGAAGGCTATGTAGCACCATCAAATGTGCGAAATAGTCAGAGGGCGCTAAATATCACTAAGGATGTCAATTTGAGAACAGAAACACATAATGTGAACGATATCAAAAGTATCCGATTCACCAAGAGGGACAAGTGACCTCGAAGGACGGTCAGGAAGTAAGACACACGTTCGTCCTGGAAGTCAGGACATTCAACAAGGATATGCACAGATGTAAGAGGGACAATACAGTTTGGACAATAAGAAGCAGGGCGGCAACAAACAGGTTCAGAACCAGAGTGGAAATGTACAGAATAGTAATGCGCTAAATTCAGGAACAATCTCTCAGCATCCCAGAAATAATGTCAGGAGTTTAAATAGTTTCTACACAAATGCCAGAAGCCTAGCAAATATATTTGAATCATTGTGTGCATATGCTGAGGTTGAAAATCCCGACATCATTAGCATCAGTGAAACATGGGGGTCGAGAGGATATAATTGAAGGTGAATTATTTCTCCCAGGAAATCACCCACCATTCAGAAAGGACAGAACAACAAGAGCAGGCTGGGTGATGTATGTGAAGAAGGACCTAGATCAGGGTGGGCAACCTCTGGCACGCGTGCCAAACTTGGCACGCCGATGACTTGTCTCTGGCACGCAAGAGCATAGGTTACCCTAAGCACAGATGCAAGCACATGTTACCCTAAGCACAGACAAAAAAAAACTACTTTCCTTGGGGTGTAAGCATACATGCCATGACAGTATATGTACGTCCTGGTGGTGAAGAAGTTTAAGCTCTACGAAGCTAAAGAGGTCTCAAGAAAAAGAAGTTGATCTTGTTGCCATAGTTACCTTCTTTTTTTACGTCATCGATCATGCCGATGTATGATGATTCACCTCTATTTACTTTGGCTCATATTTTATGTAATAAGCCTTTCTAACCTAAAGGCTGCACCTATACCATAGTGTACACTGACAATCATATCTGTGAAGGCAAAATACGCCATGCCTGCCCACCTTTAAAAATTAATTTTGTAAACTTTGAATTTAAACCCCCACAACATCTCCCCCCCCCCCCCTAAACCTTATGTGTTTGAATGCCGCCCGACTTCAGTTTGACGCATATTAATTAAACTCACTTTACTATCTAAATCTAAAGCATCTTCACCTTCGAAAGCTAAAGAAAGATAAGAATTCTTTAGGGGTGATGAAGTATGTGAAGAGATGGTTGCTCTTGCATCACTACCTGAGCGTACTACCGGGGCTGAAATATGTAAACAGTTGTGAACGAATTCTCTACTCGGCAAATTGACATTTCAAAAGTAGTATCCGTCACAACAGATGTTGCCCCAAACATGACTGGTGAGAAGGCAGCATTTGTAAATCTGCTTGCAAAAAGTGTTGGTCATCCACTGATTGGCTTCCATTGCATCATACATGAGGAGGCTTTATGTGCAAAAGCTGGCCTAAAGGAACTGCAAGAAGTGATGCAAACAGTTACCAAGGTTGTTAATTACATTTGTGGTCGGCCTTTAAATAAAAGACAATTTCAAACTCTACTGGATGAGGTAAAATCTGTGTATAAAGGTCTAAAAATGTACAACCATGTTCGTTGGCTTAGCAGAGGCTTGGTTCTGAAACGATTTATTGAATGCTTAGATGAGATAAAGCTCTATATGAACGACCAATGTTTTTTCCTAATGTTTTTCATCTTAAATGAATTGAATATTAAGTTAGAGGGCTCTGGTAAGACACTTGATGTTATGTTTGGTTACATAAAAGCTTTTGAAATGAAGCTTAAAGATTTTAAGAGGGATGTAGATAATGAGAGATTTAGATACTTTCCAAACCTAAAGAGGTACATCAGTGATCTAAAAGATGACAGAACAGACCACAAAAGTCTTCAAAAGCTGTTTGTAAACATTATCGAGTCAACAGTTTGGCAGTTCTCTTCAAGATTTGCCAAATTCAGAGAACTGGAAACACAGTAAAGTTCATCAAGTTTCCAGACAGCATCAAAATGAATGAACTAAACTTGCAAATGTTTTCATGGATAGACATGGATGATTTTGAGATGCAGTTGATTGAATTTCAGAGTAGCTCAATTTGGAAGCAGAAATTTGTTGACCTTAGAGTTGACTTGGAAAATATTGAAAGAGAGAGATTAGAGATGAAAGTAACAAAGAGAAATGCGGAAAACGAAGTATTAAGGACTTGGAATACTATTCCAGAAAATTATGTCTTTAAAAAACCTTGCAACAGCATTGCTAACCATGTTTTCGTCTACATATGCTTGCGAATCTTTGTTCTCAATTATGAACTTTGATAATTCTCGTAACAGGAGTAGCATGACAGATGAAACTAGCGCTGCATGCATATCTCTCAATGTTACTAAATATAAACCCGATGTAAAATCTCTGTCATCAGTTATGCAGCAGCAGAAGTCTCACTGACAGTATATAAAAGGAGTCAACAAGTTTTTTATCTGTTGTATTCTATTAAAGTCACAAAAGCTTAAAGGCTGTTGAAATGTACTTCTGAAGGTTAAATAAAAAAAAATTCTGTTTTTTTTTTATACTATGTTTTACTGCATTGAGGTAATTTATTAATTTTTCCATTAATAAGTTCTTAAGAGATACCAAATATGTTCTAAAAAAAATGGTTGGCACGTGGAAAAAGTTTGTGTCAGAGACTTGACTGATTTTGGCACGCACTCTCAAAAGGTTGCCCATCCCTGACCTAGATGCTACCAACAATGAGGAACTGAACACCATGGATTCCTCAAAGTCTGTATGATAGTATATACTAGCTCAAGATGGTAGGAAAATGAACGTGGGAGTATGCTACAGGGCATACGTGGGACAGCGTGGAACGCTGCTACGCAGCAGCGGAAGCGGTAATTACGGATCTGAATAATGTAATCAATGTGACGTCAGAAATCCAAACTCTAATAATGGGAGACTTTAACCACGAGACCATAGACTGGATCAGCTTAACATCACAAGCAGAAGGTGAACTATTTTTCGACCTTGTGCAGGACTCCTTTCTCATACATCATGTGTTAGAGCCGACACGTGGTAACAGCATACTAGATTTTGGCTGACAACAGAAGAGGGGTATAATTTATGATTCATTGTGTCAGGGGGACAGGAAGCCCAATTGTGTTCATATAGGTTAGGTTTTTATCGAGGCCCCACCCACCTTGCCCCCTCCCCCCCCCCCCAAGTCCGAATTATTGACCACGCCCAGGATGCAACCCCACAACAAGCTGACTAACTCCTGAGTACTACTCACTGCTAGGTGAACAGAGACATTAGGTGAAAGGAAATGTCCCCCCCAAACTATTTCTTTCCCGCCCAGAATTCTCGATTTTGCATTGAGAACGAACCCGACTGTACTACCAGGACCCGGTATGATCACTTTCTTGTGGGGGAAAAGCTAACCCCCCTCATGCAACCACCATATTTTAACATGGACTCCGAATATAGTAACCCACATAAAGGTCAAAGGTGATGAATTTCAAGCTTACCAGCGAGGTGATTATCAAGTAATCAGAGGAATTACAATCCATCTCTTGGAGGGAGCTGATGGGCCAGCATGGCACGGAAGCATCAAGGCAAAATTTCAAGAGGGACATTGGAGCTCGTTCAAAAATATGTGCCAAAAATAAGAAAGACATGAAAGGGAAGTCGATGGATGACACAGGCAGTAAAACGAGCGTTGGTAATCAAGAGGAACCTCTAGAGAATGTATAAATCCACGATGGATATCATTGATTACGAATTATACAAAAGGGCACTAAACTCGGCCACTCAGAAAATCAGAGCAACCAAAAGAAACTACGAAAGAAAAATTGCCCAAAACATAAAGATCCAAAATCGTTCTATGTCTATATAAGAGATAAAAACAAAACAAAGGACTCAGTTGGACCCTTAATAGATCAGACTAACCAGGCTGTAATGGATGATAATAAGGCAGCAAACACTCTAAATAATTATTTTACATCAGTGTTCATACTCGAAGTGTTGGATGATTTCGGGATATATCCATAAAATGCGAAATAATTAGAATGAACATTGACGAACTAAAAGACTCTAAAGTTCCAGGTGTGGATGGAATCCAATCCAAAGTCTTAAAGAAACTGGCAGAAGAACTATGCCTGCTGCTGAAACTAATTTTCACAAAATCCCTGGACCAAGGGGAAGTCCCTCTAGATTGGAAATATGCAAAATTCACCCTTACTTTAAAAAAAAGGCAGAAAGAGCTAAGAAAACTACCGGCCGATCAGCTTGACATCACACATCTGCAATCTCATGGAGAGAATCCTCAGGGAGGGAATCATTTATCATCTTTCAGTGAACAACCTTGTACAATCGACACAACATGGGTTTGTTAAAAACAGATCCTGCCTTACAAACTTGCTCATATTTTTGGAAACGGTAACCAGCTATTCAGACAGAAGCCTTCCGGTGGATGTAGTATACATGGATTGTGCTAAAGCTTTCGTTAAGGTACCACATGAAAGACTGACATGGAAATTACAGGCACATAGAATAAATGGTAAATTATTAGAATGGATGAAACAATGGTTGAAGGAAAGAAAACAAAGGGTCATGCTAAATGGAAACGAATATGAATGGAGAGATGTGATACGTGCGGTGCCAGAAGGGTCCATTTTGGGACCTACCCTTTTTGTAGGTCCTTGATTTGTCCTTTATGTGCACTCTTCAGAGCATGCTACTGGAGAACTGCTGGAATGACGGTACGTGTACCTCGCATTAGTGTCGCGTTGCTGCTCAATTCTGTCTTGATACGTTCAAGTGCTTTGAATGCACCTTGGTCAACTCCTGAGGGTGGTATACGTGGAAACTTTTTCTTAGTTAATGCATCCACTCTTGCTTGCAGAGATGGGTCCTCTAGGGTTGCAGTACGAATTTCATCAAGAGTGAGAACCTTTGAAACTGTATCACAGGTTACAGAGTGCACATATTCCTCGGCAACTTGCTGATGCTTGGTGATGGTGAAACTGTTGGCAGGATGTCGACTGATGTAATCAGCGGGATTGCCTGCACCCGGCTTGTATTTCACCGTAAAGTTGTATGGTTGCAGACGAAGAACCCATCTCTCAATGCGAGCTGGTGGTTTGGACTTTGGATTATTGAAGATGGTCTCCAACGGTTTGTGGTCAGTGACTATCGTGGTGAAGGGTGCACCAAGCAGATACACATTGAAGTGTTCACAGCCCCATACAAGAGCAAGAGCTTCCTTCTCTGTCTGACTGTATCGTTGCTCAACATCTGTGAGAGAACGGCTGGCGTAGGCAATTACTACTCTGGAATCTGGTTGACCAGGTTTGTGTTGGGCTAAAACAGCACCTAAACCAACAGGACTAGCATCCACCGTTAACTTAGTGTCCATTGATGGATCAAAATACGCAGCAGTCGCATTCTCTACTAGTGCATCTTTCACAGCATCAAATGCATTTTGCTCGATATCACTCCAGTACTATGATGCATTTTTCTTCAGGAGCTCACATAGAGGCTTTGTAATGGTAGCAAAATCTGGAATGAAGCGAGAACAGTAGTTTGCCATTCCCAGAAAACTATGTACTTCAGTGGACGTTGAAGGAGGTGCAGCATTCTTGATATCTGCAACTTTCTTAGGATCTGGAGACAGACCTTTGTCACTAAGTACATGTCCAAAGAATTCAATTTTAAGTTGATTAAACTCACACTTTGCTCGGCTTAGCATCAGATTCTTTACTCGTAAGCGTTGCAATGTTGCACGAAGAGCTTTGTCGTGTTCAGCTTGGGTAAACAATGATGTCATCAGACATGTTGTCAGCATTAGGTATATCTTGCAATACCTGGCTGATGATGTGCTGGAATACCTCGGCAGCACTGTTAATACCAAAACTCAGGCGCTTGTACCTATACAGACCTCGATGTGTCGTAAACGTTGTGATGAAGCGACTCTCATCATCAAGTTCAAGCTGATGATAGCCCTTGTTTAAATCTAACTTGCTGAATACAGTTGCACCATTCAAGCGGTAGATCATATCATCTACAGTGGGTGTAGGATGGCGTTCACGCATTATTGCCTTGTTGGGAACACGCATGTGTACATAGATGCATATCTCATCTGTATTCTTCGGCTTTGGCGGACTGACAATTGGGCTTACCCATGGTGTTGGGCCTGTTACTGGTTCTATGATATTTTATTTATTTATTTATTTATATACAACTAGATACATTGGGTTTATGAGAGTACATAGCATTGATGTTTTTACATTCTTGTAAAGCCACTAACACACACACACATACATCCAGATAGGTGCCGGTGGCTGACTGGACAGCACGCTGGATGCGTGATCCTGGGGTCGCGAGTTCAATTCCCGGTGCCGGCAAGAAACAATAGGCAGGGTTTCTTTCACTCTGATGCCTCTGTTACCTAGCAGTTAAAAAGGTACCTAGGAGTTAGTCAGCTGTCATGGGCCTGCTTCCTGGTGTGCATGTGTGTGTGTGTGTGTGTGTGTGTGTGGTGTGAAAAAAATAGTAGTTAGTAACAGTTGAAGGCGGACCGAAATAGCAGAGTTCAACCCTCACAAGTACAAGTAGGTGAATACATAGCGTTTGGCAAGTCCTTAATTTAACAGATAATTTTAAGTAGGTAATTCTAGCAAAATTAAAAAAAGTTAATAGGTATATTGTAACTATTTTTTTTAAACATTAGTAGATACATCTGAGTAAAATTTGAGAATTTTTTTAAAGTATATTGTAGCATAATTTGAGGATTTTTTTTATGTACATTGTAGTAAAATTTGCATTCATCATAACAACCATGATATAAGATGATGTCAGTGATTACAACGGTGAAGTTATATGGCTTAGTATTGTGATGTTTTTGATGATGGTCGGTTATTCTTACAGACAACCCTACCCAAAACCTGGAGAGTACTTATTTTGACCAAGAAAGCACCCTGGGAGCTTCT